AGCTGGAGGGCTCTGGGCGCCTGGCCTCTGTCGCTCGTCTCGTAGCAGGCGGCTTTGCTGTGTACCTGCCGCAACCGTCAGCGTGCCGCGAGGCTTGAGCCAGCCACCAGGTCTGCTTTTCTCAAGCGGCAAAGTGGCGATGTTGATACCAACTTCTATTGTTGGCGCGTTGAGCTTTTTCCAGGGGTGTCTGTGCGTCGGTTCCCGTTTAACGGAGCTTTGCATTTTAGCGGCAGCGGACTCCGTTCCCGTTAGCAGCGTGGCTTTGGCCAAGGACTTGGTGGTGTCACAGGTTTTTGCGTGCGAGGTTCAAATATCTGACTCGGAAGACCCTGAAGCTTACATGGGCTGTTTGAATCTGTCACTATCTGGGTTTTTTTTGTTGTTGTTTTGATATTATGGAGAATTTTATTTTTTTTTTAAATTTGAGATGTGATTTAACTGCAAGAACGTTCTTTGAGCTGAAACTTTGGATCATTTTGGTCTTCCTCAATTGTTTTATCTCTAATGGTGTCTCTTGAGTGTTTTTTAACGTAAAAACTAAATATCTGACTGAATCAAACTTTGTTTGATGTTCCATTTTATACCTGTTAAGCCCACTTCCAGATTAGTAAACCACTTTCTAATACACTCGAGTATTCGAGCTCTTCGGTTCTGCAGACAGTAGCTTGTGCGTTTAACGTAAGTGAAACGATACCATGAGTTACCGAGCCCCCTCCACCCTCCTCATGGCCAGCAAGCCATGAACGTGTTCCCGTGGCGGTTGGCAGGCAGGCAGAAGCGTTCTTCTTCTCTTTCCAAGCAAGGTGTTTGGGGCCAGCCTTGAACTGGAAGAGCCTAGAGCTGGGGCAGGCGCGGGGCTGGATGGGAGCAAGCAGGCCGTGGTGAGCGGCGGGGGGGGGGTGCCTGTGTTAATTTGCGCTCCTTACTCTGCTAATGAGGCCATGCCACTTCAGGTTTAGAACAGGCTTATCTGCCTACTCAGAACTAGTACAGGGAGCGTCTACCTGTGAGAGACTAGAAATATCTCTAATCTCATTCCATTAGTTTGTGAGTCCCGCTCTCCAGCAAAGCCCCCTCAAAAACAGCAGCTGTTGCCTGTCCCTGTTCCGTTGCACGAGGATGACAGACTAAAGGTAGCTCGACTTCTTTGGGGACAAAACATATTTCTAGCTCCATAGCTGAAACGGATGAATCCTTCAATCTGAAGTTTTTCCACACAGTTTTCCCCCGTGTGGAAAAGTTCAGCCAGAACTTTGAAGGTTTGGCAAACTTACAAGCAAGGAAGATCTCTGAATGGAACCAGTGTTGGGCAACTGTAAGAGGTGGCGCTTTCAGGCTCGCTTATCGCCGGTTATCCTGCCCTGGGGTTCTCTGCCTTTCTTTTCCTCATGAAATAGGATTATCAGGGTTTTTTGACTGTACAATGTTGGTACACTTTACTAGTTTACAGCTTTATTCACAGTGCTTCCAAGATTTGAGAAGCAGCATTTCAAAATAAGCATGTGCTATTATTTCTTGTTGTGGGGGGAGGGCAACAAATAGTTGCCCTTTGTTGATCTTTTCTAGAAGAGAGAGAAATCTCTCATATTGAGAAGACACTTTTTTTTCTGTTATAATTTCTTTCAGGTTTTCTGTCTCTATACGGGCGTTGCAGTATGCAACGCAGCTATTCCTGTGTGCATCAGTTCCTTGCCTTTCAAAGCAAACCAGGGAAAAGATAATGCTTTTATGTGAATGAGGAAACACACGAGAGATGAAAGAAAACCACTTGTGTCTAAGCTTATCCTGCAGTCTTCCTTCCCTTCCCCCTTTTTTCTCTTACTCAAGATAAAGTGGGTTTACTGCTTTAGTTTTTCTCTGGGATGATGAGTGCCGCTTTGTTGTTTTAGGTAGCACAGAGGAACTCCTCAGACTCTCTAAATCTCATCTCAGGAACCGAGTGCAGGGCCAGGAAGTGTCTTACCAGATATGCTTGCTCCCCCAGGTGTCCAGAAGTGGTCCTCAAAGTCTTGGATTGTTTACTTCAGGTTTGTTTTGTGATGGAGACAGTGTTGAAGTCTCACTGTGATGAACAGCACCCTCATCAGGCTGAAGACTTCCATGGCAAGCACGAGCAGAACAGCAAGCTTTCAGGTATGTGCTAAAATAGGGATTACTGACATGTTTTTTTGCTGACATGCTTCTTCATCACTTCACGAAGTTTCAGCATCAATTATAAGCCTGCCTGTATATGGTCCTATTGTATAAAGAATTAATGAAATGAAAACATTCGAGCTTGCTTTTGATTTTAAGCTTATTCCTGCTTTCCGTGTGTTACAAAACTTCAGCAGCAGTAGTTTGTCACAATTTGCTAACCCTACTATTTATTTAGTACGAAATATGTCATTATAAGAGGGTACCGGAATTCCAAAAAGGCATTCCTTGAGAATAAAGTTCTCCGACCAGACAAGTACACAAAAATAATATTTTTTCCTCTTAACCTATAATTGCCAGCCTTATCCCTAAATTTCTTCAGATGTGTCCATGTGCATAAAAACACTGTTCTTGCTCTTACCAGAGAAGCTGAACTATGAACATGTGCTCTGATAGTGGTTTTGTTGCTCGTTTTTGGGTCTCTTTGTGAATGTACTTCAATCTGGATATTTCTTTCAGTGCTTGCTCAGTAATTGTGGATGGTCAGCCAGCTTATATAAAATGGCTACTGATTTTCCTAGAAATAGATAATCCTCTGTCAGTCCATGTCCACGTCCAGAATTATGTAGAGTGATGCTGAATAACGTTTAATTGTCTTGCTTTACAAACGCTTTTCATTCTAGGAAGTAAAGAAATGACTTTAAAATCTGCTCACAGAAGATGTTGGATATTATTATTACACGGTGATGGTACAATGACTGTACATTCTCTATACTCTGCTGGGGATTCAGGCCCCCAGAAGAGGACAGATGATGTTTATGCTGCTGTCTATCAACAAGGACAGTCACTGCCTGTTTCTAGCACTTTTCAGGATCTTTCACACAAGAAGCTGTGTTGAGTTACTAAATGCACTACAAGTGCCTTGGGTGGGCACTGCTCTGGCCTAGGCTCTGCAGCCTGTGTCACCCAGCTGTTAGTGCTCGGGTAGCACGTCCGGGCAGGAGCCTGAATTCAGCGTCGGACAAAACAGAGTATTTGGTAGATTCTACAGCAGTTATTGAGAGAGCTTTTCATCACTGTTAGTATCTACCTTAGGACTGTTAGACTGGTGGCACAGAACAATCCAAAACCTGCTATGGTAAGGAAAGTAGAAATCTGCTGGTTTCTAAAGACTTACAAGTCTTCAACTAGACTCAAAAGACTTTGAGTCCTTGTTAGGAGTCTTGGTTTTTGCCAGAGTTCAGTCCTTTTCTCCTAACCAAGCAACTTCGCTGGAGAAATTCCAGTACAAATTTTATGTTGTAAGTTACTGTCAGTATACTTTTTTTTTTTTAGTAAAAACTGAAGCTTAAGCAACTCTCAGAAGTCAGACTAAAATGCAAGCGTTGGAGCAAAACTGTCAGTTGCTTTATTTGGAGCAGGTTAGAATGCAAACTAGTTCTAAACAATGTTAGAATCATAGAATCATTAAGGTTGGAAGAGACCTCCAAGATCATCGAGTCCAACCGTCGACCCAACACCCCCATGCCCACTAAACCATGTCCCTAAGCGCCTCATCTACCCGTCTTTTAAATACCTCCAGGGACGGTGACTCAACCACTTCCCTGGGCAGCCTGTGCCAATGTTTAACCACTCTTTCAGTAAAGACATTTTTCCTCACATCCAATCTAAACCTCCCCTGGCGCAACTTGAGGCCATTTCCTCTCGTCCTATCATAACTTGTTGTTTTAACAGAGCCTGTTAGAACTGTATCACTGTTGAAAACAATTTTCTAGCTCTGTCCTGTGGCTACTGACCTCTTGGGATGAAGTTTGCGTAGGATGTTTCAGAACCCAGTAACAGGATTATCTTCCTGAGGGGAAAGGCCTGTGCCTTTGAGTGATGCAATAACATTTCGGTGTTCTTTATGGTTCTGTTACGCGGTTTCATCTCTTAACGTCTTTGGAGTATTCCTGGGGAAAATGGAGCACGGTACAAATATCAGCCTTTCCCCTTCCTGTATTCTCTGAAGATTTCAGAAAGCTTTCTTGAATGTCTTACATTTGTTATGTAATACATGAGCATTTGTGTAAAAAGTTGAAACTACTGTGCAAACTAACTGGAAATACCACTTTTTAAACGATAAAGCTTTTTATCAGCAGTTCTTTTTTGGTGACAAAACAACAAGAATTACAGCAATAATAGATAAATTTCTTAACAAATTTCTGAGCACATGGGCAATATGAATGCTATCAATTAAAAAAGTGTTATGTAGTAACTTCTTGAATTTTTAGTGTTATTTTCAACAGAAAGTTTTACTATATTGACAGAAAAATGAACTGATTCCTCAAACTTCTAATTTCCTACTTTTCAAGGTGTTTAACGTAATGTGGCTCTGTAAAATTGGGGAATAACCAGCATAACTGTGCATTCCTTAGCCTTTTCCTTCAGGGATTATTAGACACAGGGTCCTGTACGTCTTGACTGTTAGTCCAAGTCTGGTCATTTCTATCCTAGGATATTTTTGAAGTTTTTAAATATGATTCCTAAGCAGAACTGATTAATCTTTTACTTGTATTTGTTGATCAAAACAGTATCTTAAATGAATGCTAGCCATTTTGGTGTGTAGCGTAGAGGGTTTTTTTCATTCCTGAAATATCCCCCCTGAAATTACTTAAAGTAACTTGGAGAAGCAGAGGGAACAACTTAAAGGAAAAAAATAAGTAAATGGATAGTGAGAGAGGCAGCAGGCTTCAGTTCTCAAAAGTATTTTTAGTATGTTGGTTTTTATAAATTTTTGAAATAAAAAAAAAATTACAATTGAAAGTTAACTGTAACTTGAATTACCAACTAATTTATTGGGCTTTTACCAGGAAAAAGGGTTCTTTAGGCAGACTTCAGATTGTGTTACTGTATAAAGTGAGCTAACGTAGAAGATTGGGGATGCGTGCTAATCCATGCTTTGTTTCTAGCATATCAGTGATATTTTGAATATAATTCTCATTGCTTGTGACTTACTGTCCTGGTAAAACATAGTACATTTTTTATGTATACAATACAATTTATATAGTTATGTTAAATAGAATTTCTTATTTATTTTTAGGATGAAAAATGTATACACATTTTTTTCTTCCATTTGATTGACTTCCCAAATACCAGCTTGTGCTTACTTCTGTATAATAAAATATTCTTCACCCCTGCTTTACAGAAATCGGTCACAGCCTCTACATACTTCATAGCTTCAAAAGAAGTGAATTCTTATGCAGAGTGTAGAGAACACTTAAACTACAAGGATTCATAAACTGAATGAAAAACTACATAATTTGTTGTAATAATACAGTATGACGTCCTTGTTATGCCATCTAGTGACTGCAGCACAAAGTGCAGCAGCTTAAACGCAGAGCAAACATGTTTTTTGGTGTTTACTATTTTAAGTAACGGTGTGAAAGATTGCGTTATTGATCTTAAAAAAAAAAAAATCTTTTCCTACATCTTTGATTTGCATCCCATGGATGTGCTCCTGTGCTTACAGAAACAACTATTATATTTTTGTCTTTTATGAAATTGACATTGCAAATCTCATGAAAACATTTATCAATGAGCTGTAAACTGATGTCTTGCTAACTAGAAGGCTTTTGCCCTCTCAGGAACTGCTAGGTGGCAGATAGCTTAAAAAAAAAAAACAAACAAAAACCATCAACAAAATTTTAAATGCCGCAGCTTATAAAGGAGTGTGATGAACAACAACAACAGCATCAAGTATGCAGATGGTAATGTCAGCAGGGATAGATACCTGTTTGCTGTGTTTTCCTCTGTTTTCTGTGAATTCACAGTCCTATGGACTGAAGTGCGATTTGTGATCGCAAATATAAATCAGATACTGAATCAAGCAATAACATTCCTAACTTACTTTCCCCATTCTTTTTTTTTTTTAAAAAAGAATTTTGAAAAACTTTATGAAGCAGTGCCACAGCTTGTAAATGTGTTCAAAATTAAGGAAAAAATTGGAGAAGGTAAATGTTTTATTTTAGGTTGCTTAGACTTAGATTGCTTTTGGTATTTCTAACTTAAAAGGTAGAAATAACATTCCAATATGTGCCATTTAAGCCAAATGCCTTTTTAATTTACTTCTTGGTCTCTGTAGGAATTCTAATATGTTGCTGAGCGTAGAGGTGTGTTAATTAGGGACTTTTCAAGGTATTTTCTTGAAAATCTGGTATATTAAAGCCTTTCAAAAAAACAGCATTCCAGTTTCGACAACTAGAAATTTGTGAGGTAAATACGAGTAATTAAGTCTTAACACTCTGTTCTTTCTCTCTTTTGCATGAGAAATCTATTTATATGCAGCTGTGTTTTGACATATTTAACTACTGCTCCTTAAGTTGGGAAGGAAACCCTGTGGGCAGAATTGGACGAGGAGGCAGAAAGATTATAGCTGCTTTATTTAAAAAAAAAAAAAAAGTGGTTTTTTTTTTAAGACATACCGTATCAAATTTTAGAACACTTGTGCACACCTTGCCTTCAACAGATACTATTGCAAATGTTAGGTACTATAATCCTACAATCTACCTATAAATAGATTCTTAGGTACTTCTGAGTGTGGGATTTCAGCACTTTTTGGAACTTGACCCATTTGATCTCTGAAATGCTTTGTGACACCCCACACTTTTAAACAAAGATGTTGATGAGAAGCTCCATTCACCACAGCAATACAAAATTTCAAAAACAAAAAAAAAGAGTTCTGCCTATCATAAAAAAGATAGTATAATTAAACAAAATCTCTGGTTATGAGTAGTACTCTGATTTTGCTCTTAGGAACAAACAATGCTTTTAAAAAATACCACTTGCAGTTCTGCAGACTTATGAGAAAACAAGCTTCAATTTAGGATTCTACTCTGGAGTCACTTTGATTTTAGCCGTTCTCGCCACCAAAAATAATGTCTTAGGTCAACTTGGTAACCCTTGTTGCTATAATCAATTCTGTTGAATGTATGGGACTCTAGATTTTTTATGACCGCAAGAAGTATTTAGAGTTTTTTGCTGGCATTTTGATGTATGTATGCACTTACAGACTGTTGAACTAGCATGATGCAAATGTGGTACTTAAAATGTAATCAAAAGTAATTTGTACTGTTTATTCATATGGAGCAATGCTTCAGCTTCTATGTTCAGATATCTCACATTATTAGGATAAATTAACCTCCTAAGAGAGGTGTATTAGGATATCCTTAAAATTAAATGGGTGGACAAGTTTATCGTACAGTCTGAATATGCCCTTTCTCAAATGAGTATCACATTCTGTCTGTGCGGCAATGCTCTGGGCAAACAAATAGTAAAGCTGCCCATCATGTGAGAAGTCTTACTTTATAGGTAAGGTAACAGAATTAAGAAAAATGTAGCAATTTCAGAAGCGCTGTGAATAGTAAAGGCAGTGCTTTCCAGATGAACATTATATAGCCCACTTACATCGTAGGGAGAGAAGAGTTAGATGTCAGATGAAAGTAAGCTACCTAAACAAGAAAGCAAATCAAAGACAGGAGATTTACATTCAAAGAGCTCTGTCCCAGGCAAGTTAGACAGTGTTACATTTGCATTTTTACTGACGTAAGTATACAAGATCACTGAATTCAGTAGTAGAAAAAAGGAACTGCATTTTTCTCTTCTAGAATCTGCTTTTGATGTAATATCAAGTATACTGCAAGATTGTGAAGTTAGATCGCTTCTGTAAAAATCTGAACTGACCTAATTAAAAATGCTGAAGACAGTGGTTTTGTCCCTTCTTTACAGGTACGTTTAGTTCTGTTTACTTGGCCACAGCACAACTACAAACAGGATACGAGGAAAAAATGGCTCTGAAACACTTGATTCCAACCAGCCACCCTCTGCGAATTGCTGCTGAACTTCAGTGCCTCACAGTGGCAGGGTACATAAACAAAATATTTATGATTGTCATGACTAAACTGCTGAACATTGTCTCACTGTTCTGTATTTACTTATTTTAAGTTTGGCACTTTGCTTGCTTTTTTTTTTAAACCGCAGAAATGTATATTCTCTTTATTGAGCGAGTAAGAAATGGAGTGTCTTACCTGTAATGGATGCCCTTTTCTGTTAGTCTCAGTTTGCGTATGGTGCTGTATTTTCCACCTGAGAAGTTCTATGATGTATCTCTGTGATATAACAAAAATTCCAGTTCTGAAATGCTTGGAAAAAATAATCTTTTCATCAGAAAATGTGGTTTTAGGAATGAGTACTTATTGCCAGAGTGGGCTGAATAGCACCTTCTTAAAGTAGTTGGTATCATGAAGGTTAGGCCCTACATTTAATTACAGCGTAACTACAAACGATGGCCCCATTGCAAACCGCAGAACTCAAATGGAACATAGCAATGAGAGGCAACAGCATAACTACCGACTGCTGATAAGACTGCTGTCAAAATATAAATTAGATTATAAAAGAACGGCTGACTGAAGTTTTTAAGAAATAAAGGAAAATAAACATCCATCTTCTGGTCTTTATTCAGTGACATTGCTTTTCTTCTAGGGGACAAGATAACGTTATGGGAGTTAAATATTGCTTTAGGAAAAATGATCACGTGGTTATTGTTATGCCATATCTGGAACATGAATCCTTCTTGGTGAGTCCCAGACTTTTTATGTGTAGTAAAACTTTTCCATTAAAAGCAGTTGCATAATTACAGTATCCAAATAATCTTTCAGGACATTTTGAATACTCTTTCCTTTGAAGAAGTGAGGGAATACATGTTTAATCTGTTTAAAGCGTTGAGGCGCATTCATCACTTCGGTATTGTTCACCGTGACGTCAAGCCTAGTAACTTCCTCTACAACAGGCGGCTAAAAGAGTAAGTCTGTCCAGATGACCGTATTGTGATCTCATTTGGGGATGTGTGCCTTGGCAGAACAGAGTCAATTAGGCTTTGGGGTTTTTTTTTTCCTTCCAGCTGCATAACATGTGTTTAAGTAATAAAACTAAACAAGATTTTTTTTATTTGTAAAACTTTTCTTTCTGTGTTTAGGGATTTGAGGAGGGAAGGAATTTTTTTTCATACTTAATGTAATATTTGCCTCAGAGTGACAAGTACCTGAAAAAATGAAGAGTTTACTATTGACTAAAAGTACTACATTTTTAAATAAGAATGAGAAGAATAAAATCAGTTGGTTTTTTTTTTTAATAAGAAAGCTAATAGTGACTTGTGGTGCATTGACTGATATTTGTAAATTTTTACTTGTGGATACAGTAAAAGATAAGATAGCTGGATTTGGGCTGTTTTCACCTTACATTGAATTAATGTTTATAACTAGTAGGGTTGGGTTTTTTGCCTGCAAGTTACAATATTTAAAGACTGTAAAAAGCAAGGTACTGCTTTTTTGTGAAGAGCTGAAATGGATAGAATAAGGTACTGTTTCAGTGCTAGCAGTCCTATAGCTGTATTGGTGAGTATTGTGCTACGTACGATTGAGACAGTGAGGTGCCGGAGCGTGTCCAAAGAAGAGCAACGAGGCTGGTGAAGGGTCTAGAGCACAAGTCTTATGAGGAACGGCTGAGGGAACTGGGGTTGTTTAGCCTGGAGAAAAGGAGCCTCAGGGGAGACCTCATCACTCTCTACAACTACCTGCAAGGAGGTTGTAGTAAGGTGGGGGTCGGTCTCTTCTCCCAAGTAACAAGCGATAGGACGAGAGGAAACGGCCTCAAGTTGCGCCAGGGGAGGTTTAGATTGGACGTGAGGAAAAATTTCTTCCCCAAAAGGGTTGTCAAGCACTGGACCAGGCTGCCCAGGGAAGTGGTTGAGTCACGATCCCTGGAGGTATTTAAAAGACATGTAGATGTGGCACTTAGGGACATGGTTTAGTGGTGGACTTGGCAGTGTTATGTTTACAGTTGGACTTAATGATCTTAAAGGTCTTTTCCAACCTAAGTGATTCTGTGATTCTATGTAGTGAAAGTTTGTAAGGGAGATTTGATTATATTTTGCCAAACCACAAGCTTAAAAATTTGAGAAATACTGATTTTTTTAATCTGTCAAAATGAATTCGTACTGTCATTTTGCTCTTCCAGCATTTGTTTGAGCCTTAATCTCTACTTTGGGTGTGGAGGCCATGGAGTTGAGTTGGTCTGAGACCCAGAGACAGCTGGATGGTCTCTGTACTGGTTGTAGCAAAAAATAATTCTTTTAAAGAGAGATCTGAAGTGCGGACTAATGTAGTCTTACTTGTTTGAAGACTGAAGTAAATTCCGGTAGTATTGCTTGAAGTTTGGCAAAACTCTCAGCATTGTTAGTCTTGTCTGTCTTCACTGCTACATTTGTGCCTCTGCCCATGGGAATCCTACAAGGGTCAAGTCACTTGTACTTGACTGTTGGCTGAAGGTTCGGATCTGTAGGACTAGAAGAACCCCAGAAAGGAGTCGCTGGGAATATTTTTTTTAACACCATTGGAGAAAGTATGCACTTGAGAAGATTTTGGGACAGGAAACAATGAAGTAAGGTGGGTATAGGGTAAAAACATTGAGGGGATAGGTAAAATAGGACAAGAGGAGGATAAAGGAGGAAAATAGGACTGCGATGCTGGTGACAGTACAGGTAAGCAACATATTGAGTAAAATGTGAAAGAAAGATAAGTAAACAAGTAATGAATCGTAACTTGAACTGATTGATAGATACTTTGTGACTCCTGATTCTAAATTTGTGTCTTTCAGGTATGCCTTGGTAGATTTTGGCTTGGCACAAGGAACCCCTGATACAAAAATTGAACTTCTCAAAACTGCTCGCTCTGAAGACCAGCAGGGAAGTTGCTCGCAAAATAATCCCACCATAGCCTTGGGAAATGGGGTTTCTGTCAGTGTCACAGCACCTAAACAGATAGCTCAACAGTCAGCCTCAAAAGCATCTGATAAAAGGTCCAGCTCCCTTTCAAAAATACAGATTAAACAAGGAAGAGGAGGAAAGGTTCTCAGTCTTTTTCATTAATACTGTTGTATGTTTAATTTATTACTTCATCCAACAGGGGGAGATGTAATACTTGAACAAAAGTTGTGCATGCGTATCTTGCAGGATCCTAATGTGATGCACAGAATCACGGTTTTCATATTAAAGCGGCTAGTTTTACGTAACCCTACTGGCATCATTCACTATCTGTTAGATATAATACAATGCCGAAGGCTGTACAAAACCCTAGCATGGGTTACTATCTAGACAGCCTTATATGTTTTTTTAAGTGACATGTACTGTGGAACTCCTCCCCGAGCCCATAATTATTCATCTATGTTTAGTTACTTAGTTGCACAACAAATGCAGTACATTCAGATTGTCTTGGGGCACTTCTGAGGTGTGACTCGTTTTGTAAGCATGTTTGCTGTTCTGTCTAGACCATGTTTTCTTCATCCATAGCAAACTGATGCCTGAAAATGACTTACCGTGCAGCTGTTCTTGTTTTATGCCACTTCACACTTTTTTTTTTGAACTGTCAGTATCCAGCTGACTGTGTGTTAGATGGGATCCTTATTGTCCTTTTTGTTGGTATTGTAGGAGGATTCTGTGCACCATTCCGTCCAGCGCTCTGTCTTTGGAGAGAGGAATTTTAATGTCTATAGTTCCACATACCAGGAGAACTCAAGTACAAAAGTAAGAAGTATGACTCATCAGTAAGAGCAATCTGTTACATATTTGAAAAATTATAGAACTCGTTGTTCTGTAAGACTGGACACTACTCCAGGATGCTGTGGAACTAAAAGGTTTTGAGCAGATTATTAAGTGTGTCTTTGCTGAAAGGCTCGAGGAATTTTTCATTTTTGTTTCAGTCCCTTTTGAAACTCTTAAAGAGAGTTAGTGCCTGTGTGTTGCTGTGGCATTTCATGTGCATTTTTTTTATTCTCATATTGAGCCAAAAGAATTCTTGAAACATTATACTAACTTGAAAAATACTTGTCTTGTAGCTTCAGAATATCTAATGTATATTGTTTTTTAGTAAACACTGAAAAATGTTTTCCTAAGGGGAAGGAGAGGAAATTGGGATATTTAGAAAGCTCCAGCGTCTGTTTCATAGACGCTGTGATATTGTTAAAAAGGTTTGCTGTCTTCTGTTCTAAAATTGCAGCTTCTTGCTCATGAGCACCTGTTCGGTCTTAGTATTTTAGGAACTGGCCTATCTATGTGTAAAGGGAACCTTCTTAAATATGTCACCTTCTCTAAAATATCTACATTGCAGCTCATAAAACAATCAAAGATGATAGATGTTTCATCTAGGAAGTTAGTAGCAAAGAAGAAGATTATTTCTACCAAAACAGTGAGCAATGGGGCAGCCAGGAAAGCTGCCAGTGGTTGTCCCTCAAACCTGACCTGTGACTGTTATGCAACGGATAGAGTTTGCAGTGTTTGCCTTTCAAGGTAATTTGCTTTGATAATGTTGTAAAACTGTCTGCTATGCTGTCAAGCAAGGTCAGAAACTTACTAAATAGCTGATTTAGTAAGTGAAAGATAGCATTTGATCTGTGCAACGCTTAAAACACTGAGTATGCGCTTTTTAAACATGAATAGTTTTAATAATAAGTTTTAATAATAGGCAGGTTAGAGAACCTTAGTAACTCAGTTCAACTCCATCCCTCTGCAGTTAATTTTGGTTATGATCTACTATTGCCTTTTATCCACACATTAAGGAACACAGATTAATGCAGAGAATTCTGCTTACTAGGCATAGTCATGAAACTGTGAGGTCCCTCTCTTCCCAGACTGTCAAAATGTGGTGATATCAACTTCATTTCAGAAGTACGAAACGTGAGGAATTTGCCAGACTCAAAAGAGAAGTGGCCCATAGGAGGAAGGCACTTTAAGCCATACAAGAAGCTCTGGAAAGTTGTGGTTTTTTTTTTTTTTAAATAATGATAATCTCTCACCTTTTAGTTAATCTAAAACTAATTTATGAAAAGTAAATTCTTGTCAACACTCAGAAATAGTGAACCTTAGTTTGCTGTGGATTAATACAAAGCCAGAGCATCCACATTCAAGAATCTAGTGCATTTTTTGCCTTTGGTTAATTAGTCTCGACTTCAAAGTTTCCTATGAAAACAAGCCTTTAGCGAAAATGATGCTGCTGTTGAATGAAACTAAAAAAGGTCATTGTGAGTGAAGTATGCAATTGTGAGTGAAGTATGCAATAAGTATTTCTGTGGTATTACCTTATGCTAGATAATATAATGAAATAAGATAATAGATAATCTAATAAGGCTGTTATGCAACAATTTCATGCTAGATAATTATAAGATGCTTCAAACTCCTATAAAACAAATAAGGCAGGGTTAGGCTGTTTACACATCTTGCATAAGTATCTTCTAAAAATATTAAGTGTTACTATACTTAGAACTTATTTATCAACTTTTATATTCTAAACAAGTTTGTCCGTTACTACAAGGTGTCAGCAAGTTGCTCCCAGGGCAGGAACACCTGGATTCAGAGCACCAGAAGTACTGACAAAGTGCCCCACTCAGACCACAGGTACTGCACTGAAATTAACACCTTTTTTCACTTTTTGATCCTTTCCGTTTATGCATATTATGTTGTCTTTTTTATGGGAGGGTTTTTGTTTACACGTGAAATTCATTTTATCATCCCTTCTAACACTCATCAAGCAGTTCCTGATTTTAATTAAAAGTTTATTATTCAGAGTAAGAACAAGTTAGGAATATTTTTCCTGTATTTGAAACTTGAATATGTCTTTATTCATTTGAGGGGTGGTGCCATATGCAGGAGTTGAATACAATGTGCTTGAAAAGAAAACAAAGCTGTAATTTTTATCAAGTTTCTTGGCTTGTTGGCTTATTTATTCAAGTAAAATCTTGAATAAATCTTGGGGCGAGGACACACTTTAGACTTTTGTAGACAGATTGTCACATATAGTTTGCTTTCATAGCAGGCATGATATGAAATTAGTGGTATAATTGCAATTAATGGTATAATTGCAAATGAGTTTTAGAAAGCGTTGGTTAATACTTTTTATCAGACTTTTTCCTTTTTGCTAGTGCTTTAAATAGCTGGTCTGTAAATGTCATAATTTTTTCTTACGAAATCTTTAATATCTCAGGGTTAAAAACTATCAAGTTAATAAGTTTCAGTAGTCTGGGTAAATATCAGGGCAGAGCAGAGGGATGGTTAATGCATTAGCTGATGCAAGTAGGATGGGAGAGGTTGCGCCTACCTGGAGAATGGAGGACCAATAAAAGCAAAGTTACTTGTTAAACACTTGGTGTATGACCAGGAGTTTTGACTTATGAAAAAGGGGGATAAATACAAATGTCCTGAAAAATTGGATTTAAAAATAACAGTTTTTAGCCACCTTTTTGCTGAATACCTTTTGAGAAAATTGTCAATTTTCAGTACTTACATTATGTATACACACTCAGAATAGACTTAACAATACATTTGATCAGCTTATCCCTAGATAGCTTAATGTTATTTGAAACAACATCTGTGCTGTGGGTATGACTGGGATTTCAAGAGGTATGGGCAGCCTGTTTGCAGTGACTGTGTGTGCGCTGTAACAGCCAGCTTTATGGGCTAGAAGACATCCAGAAATCCAGGACAAGTTTAGACAATCTCTGAATCCGTCTAGACAGAATGTAGGCAGAAAGAAGACATACCTAGGAAATCTTGGACATGTGCTAGTGTTAAATACGCTTTCAGACGGTTTTCTGTTCTCTAGGGTAATGGAGAGCAGGATTACAGAAAATATGGGTAAATCTGGAAACCCTTGGGTGTGGCACAGACAGCCCTAAAAGTACTGAGTCAGCGGAGCCGTAGTATGTCAACAAAGGCCTTAACTGGAACGGGGTAGACTAATACTTATGAGATTATGTTGTATTTGAACTAACACCTCTTCTTGTCCACTTCCACCTGGGACTGCTGTAGTTACCTCCTTGTATTCCTGCCAATCTTACTACTAGTTCTGGTCTCTGTGCTGAAACCGAGCTACCAGCTGGATCCAGCTGACTCTATCCAGAGCTACCTTAGTGCATCTGGCCCAGGTCCACAGCGCAGGGAATACAACCTAAACTCCCAAGTTGACATTACACAGGTCCACGTACATTTCAACTTAGTTTGTCCCTCTGCTCCCCTTTCCTTGGTCTACCTCACTAGTTGGATAACACCAGACAAAAGCATGGAGAGGAATCATGATTTTGATGTCATTCCACAGGATCTTGCAGTCATCTGATGATCCCAGCTCTACCAGAATTGTAGGGCAAGGATTTACTAGCCATTCAGATATATAATGTCTATTAATTTCAGCAAGAGTTAAATACTTAAACATCTTTAAAGGTCTTGACCTTCATGACTCCAGCTTTCCCAACCACATACTTGGGGTGATGCACAACACCTCAAACAGATAGTATGATCTTTTCAACAGTGATACAGTAATACTAAAACTTTTTTACAGGAACTATGAAGAAGATACAAAATTTTTCCGCTGTAAATTGTGCCAAATGATTCACTTGGATTTTTTTTTTTTAATAAAAGACTTAAATCTGGTTTTGCAACTGAAGTCAACTTAATACTTTTTTTTCTTCCAAAGTCCTATGCTAATAGTGTTTCTAACTAAAATGTCCAAATTAATTACTGCCTATTTTACTACTTTTTGTTTTTTGAAGAGAAGTAGAATAACTATGGCTTTATTTCTTGTTAATTTTTCTCTTTAGAGTTTGAGAGTCCTACAAACTCTCTCCTTCACTTTCCTTGCCATCTCTCAAAATGTGCACCTTAGTGAGCCAAAAAATTATGGCAGACAGGTATTCTCATAACTTTCAGTGTTAAAGTTTCCATCATGCTTTGGCATCTATCCCCAGAGTACTCTCTGTACTCTTCATAACACAATGAAACTGATGAATAACTTCTATTACAGTTCTTAAACTGGCTATCTTGTCAAGTGATTTCATATTAGAGAGGAACAAAGTTCATAGTAAGATAAATTTTTTTAGTACTGCCTAACCGTGGCAGCCTCAGTCCCAGAAAAATTCAGATTCGCATTCGTTTATGAATTATTTATGATCTTTATATAAGGTTTTCTTCATATGAAGCAAACTTAAATAAGTATCAAAACTAGCCAGTTTTTCACCCCCTCTCATCTCCCTGGATAAAACAACCTCAAACATTGTTTTGGTACATTTTGTTTAGCAAGTTAATGGAATTACTCATATGAAAAATTCTATGGAAAAGCTTAAACGCTCCCTCTGCATCAAAGCAGGAAACTGTTCTTCAATCTGATTATAGTAATTTCCACTGTTTGCTGAAGTGTTATCTATGTGGCCGAAGTTAGTAAGTAATTCAGAACATAACTTTTTCTGATAGAAACTTTTCAGGTCGTAATTTCTTTTTAAAGAAAGCTGTGATTTTGTTTGTGACGAAATAATGAGTTTAGTTATTACTAAGCTTGCTTTCAATTGCAGCGATTGACATGTGGTCTGCAGGAATCGTATTCCTTTCTCTGCTCAGTGGACGGTATCCATTTTACAAAGCAAGTGATGATTTAACTGCTTTGGCACAAATCATGACAGTTCGTGGATCCAGAGAAACCATTCAGGCTGCTAAAACTTTTGGTATGCAAACCTTAATTATGGGGGAAAGGGGAAAAACGTATGCTTGGTCTGCTATTTAATGCAGTGACTTACAATCTGTGATTATTTTTTTTAATATATAAATACATTTTTTGGTTGGGAGTCATTTTGGAGGTAAATCGCACTTCTTGCATGTGAAACACTAAAAGTACTAGTCTGTATATACAGAGTTTTAAGAAAGTTTTGTATTTTTCTATCTTTTATGATTTGTTTATGGGGTACTTCATGTCATAGGTTTCCCAACCTGTCTACTGCCTTTCACTATGTCAGAGCCGCTTGAGGAGAAATATGCCAACTAAATGTTTTCTACTGGCATTTGGTTAGAATTCTTGAGGCAATGTTTCTATTCCTGCAAAATTTGCCCCGGAGGCTTAAGTCAATATGACTTAATATTTAGATGATGTAAACCTTGCTTTTTTTCCCCCCCTCAAGAAGGACTAGTAAAAAAACCAAAACAAAACCAAAAACAAAAACCAACAGATGGCCTGTTCAAAAAACCAAAACCACCACAAAACACACACAAACCTAAAATAACCATTCCCCTAATTGTTTGCAAGCCAAATGCTGCAGCACTCGCTGCCTGGAAGTGTAGCTGACAGCTTTGATTTTCATTCTCCAGAGGTGTAAAAATCAGGGTATCTAATTTTCTTCAGTTCTGTTAAAATGACAGTGAAATGCAAAAAGATGGTGTGTGGGGTGCGTGACAACCTGTCGCTACATAACTTCATGAACAAACCCAAACAGCTTTGTTCTGAGCAGAACCGAGACTATTATCCTTCTGACTTGCCGGGGCTATCGCTGTAAAACATGGCTGGTTTGGAGGAGTGGGGTGTTGGATTTGGTTTTTTTGATAGGTTGGTTTTGTTTTGGTTTTTTTTTTCAATGGCGGTTACACTTCAAGACATGAAGTTTCTTTGAAACAAACTTAGAAGTTACAGTTGCATAGAAAGTATGATAAAATGTCGCTTACTGTAGGATTTTTTTCTAGGTAAATCAGTTCTGTGTACCCAAGTTGTCCCAGCGCAAAACTTAAGAACCCTCTGTGAGAAGTTGAGAGGAACAAATAGCAGCTGTAAGAGATCCCAGAGTGAAGTGCGCAGCAAGTCTGTAAACGACTCAGCTTTGCCAGTTGCAGTGGACAAACCATGTGCTCCTGAGACACTCGGAAAACAAATTCAACACTTAAAGAGCTTTCAGGAAGGCGACGGTGCTTTGGAAATGAAGGCAACAGACATGAAAGGATGGGATCAGGTTCCTGATGAAGCATATGACCTACTTGATAAGCTACTAGACTTAAACCCTGCAACAAGAATAACTGCAAAAGAGGCTTTGCTGCATCCGTTTTTTAGAGACGTGAGACTCTGAGAAGGTACCATACTCCATTATTGCTTTCATACGTTTCATGTGGAAATGAGATACTGAGGTGGTTTTACCTTGTTGCCCTCAACATTTACACTCATTGAAATACCATCACACTGTGCACAGAACTACTGAAACTTTGTCTTGTACAGTTGGACTGCAAATGTAAGTTTACTTTAATACTTGCAGATGTAAAAAATTACATAAACATCGCTAACATGGTCTTATCCTAAGACACTTCTGAGGGGTTATTGCTGTGCATACCTGTTCTCTGAGAAAGTTAACTTTGATCAAAAACTACAAAGAAAGAGTTTCACAAGCTCTATGCTTAATTCTCGAGATATTCCCTTACAATTTACAAATCTGCCTTAAGGTATGACTGAAATAAGAAAGTGCTTGAGAGACTTTTTTCCATACTTGCATGTCTCTGCTTTGTTCCTGATTAGTACATGAGGGACTGAAAGTGGAACAGAGCGTGTTAATTTTGTTCAGACTCTTTTCGGAGAACAGTATTACTTTGGGAGTGTTGCTAGAGGAGGGCCCAGGTGCTGGAGGTTATATCATCAAAAGAAAAGCATAACTGTTTTAAAAGTACATTTTTGTTCCTGTCTGGTCTTTCCTACTCAGGCAACAGTAATAAATGCAGTTACTCATTTTGCATAGCCCATGTTTCCTCAGTGCCATGGGTAACTGTCAATATTCAGCAGCTACTACCTTCAGAATGTCTTGTGTGACATGCATAGGTTTGAGTTCTGTAATGGAAATTGATTTTTTTTTTTAAAAGAATATCTGTTAAATAAAGGATTTGTTTTTCCAACTTCGGAAGATTGTCTAGAGATGCTTCTATAAAAATTAGTCAGGTAAGGTTTTCCTGTGGGATGTTTCTGTTCAGGAAGAATTATGCACATTTGTTTCCTGCATAAATTCCTCAGTGATAGAAAACACTTTTCAGATAGCTCTAGTGTATACGACTGTCATAGTGGAAGTATCTTAATTATCAAGGAAGTCTTACCACAGAGTTAGAAGCTAGCTATTGTCTGGTCCTAAGTAGGAAAAACAACCTTAATAAGCTCTAACCCCGTACATTCAATGTGCAAAATAAGTTACGTTATGTTGTTCAGCAGAAGTTACTCTAAAACCTTTGATAATTCTGCAGACTGAAATTTAATGCAGTGTTTTTCCATGTACATTTCTTGAAATGCTAATGGAGTTGTTGCTATCAGAGGTTACAAGCCATTCTGAGAAAAGATTGCTGCTTTGATAACTTTTGTATAAGCCTTCTCGTATGAGCTGGTGGTTATGATAGTGCAAAGGCCCTGACCAGGTCTGGGGCCGAAGAGACATTATTTCAATATATTCAAAATCTTGAATACATAGAAAGTGATAGTAATGTTGCTCTGTTCCTGGCATCAGCTGTTAGAGAAAAATATTTGCAGATGTCAGAATATTGATTGCAGAAAATCTTGAAACCCACAAGACCCTGGGGGCCCAGGTCTTAGTAATTTTTGCTGTTTATATAATTTCAACACAGCACGTCACTGAGAAATTATTTATCTAAAGGAACTGTGGCCAAATTTGGCAAGCAATGCTGTCTGCCAGTGTCTGCAGATGTATTGTTTCCTCCTACGTTCACTCATGCTGTCTATGGTCTTATGAGAGCACTAGCTGACAACAAGCAAAAATATGTCAACTATCTATTGTGAACTTTCTAAACAACTTCAGCTTTTTAGGCTTTCCTGCCAAGGCCAGCATTGAGCAGCTCCTTGCAGCAGGCACTGCAACAATTAACCACTGCATAAGTCTAATAGCCAAAGAGGGAAAGTCATTGCTAATGGTGTTTTTACCAAAACATTAAGGGTAAGTAAATTTCCGTAAGGAACAACTCTAAGCTGAGTATATTCCGTAACAAGCTAGAACACCACACTGTTATTCCTTCTTCCAGATAGCTATGTATTTAAATCCTGGCGAGTTTTTTTTCAGGGGAAGGATATGCTTACGAAGTACTTGTAGCACTCTACAAAAGAATGAAAGCCAGGAGTAAAATATTAAGTGTAATGGGCTCTCAATGGGAAAAAAAAAAAAAATCAAGGAAAACAGCAAGAAAACACTAGAGGTGAGCAGTGGTTGCCACTGGGTTTTCTGCTTCTCCCTCCTGTGGTTCTAAGAATCTCTCAAAGCCATAGGTAAGAGCAAATACCAAGATTCCTTTAAAGTTTAATTACATGATTTGAGACGTTCATAAACTGAATGTGAATCTCCTACCATGAGAGCTGCAATTAGACGAAACTGCCCAGAAATGACATTGCCGCAACACATGTTCAGCGGTCGCCAGGCCGCAGCTGGATTACTGTTAAGTTCTGGACACCATGCTATGACAAGGATATTAATAAATTGGAAAGAAACCAAAAACGGCAGCAAAAAGCAGCATGGACTTGGAAAGATGAAGAGAAACTGATACCTAGAATCCTGAGAACAGAATGCTGGGAGCAAATCTAAATACATCTGTGTATCTAGCATAGGGAAGACTAGCTTACTCTCAGTACTAAGCCAGGCTAGCTGAGGAAATTGTGGCATGTGTTAAGTTTACGATATTTTTCCTAGTTGTAAATGATAATTAGGAAACAGGAGGGCATCTTATTAAGAGTGCCTGAGGAAACACCTGCAAAACAGCAACAAAGATTTTTTCTGGATAATACTGATAATAAGGGATAAATGAAATTCTAAATTCTGTGGAGTTTGTAGTCTTATCGCTTTTGAGATTGGACTCAATGAAGTGTTTATTTAAAGCAAAATATGCTTACTATGTGGATAAGAAAATAAATGGGACATCAATATGCTGTCTGAGAATGTTCAGTATCCTCCTTATTTTATGTATTTGCCATATCTAGAGTTTACATATTCTCTGCTCTCCAGAAAGTAAAAGCAATGTGGAACCAATACACAGCCAAGACTTCCTGTGCAGGTGCAAAAGGCTCCCCCGAATCCTTGAGTGGCCTCTTGAGGCCCCCGGGTGCGATGGGATCCTGAAGCGTTTCCATAACTGCCCACTATCCAGCCAAGTTCCTATGGGCAGGAGCTACGCTGGACCTTAAGGCAGAGCAACGAAGGAGATTTTCATTCCAGGGCACTTCTGACACGGGTAATCTAGCAATTAGTGCATTGTGGTTTTGCAGGAATAAAACACACATCAAACTCACAGTGGGCTCTGTAATCTGTTCTGGCTACAGTGAAACATCTTATTTTGGATATGACTGCCAAGCAAAAAAAATATTTCCTTTACAAAGATGATTTATTTTCCTAGCGTCTTTCTGACCATTACATTCTACTAATCAGCAAAATACAAAGAAGGAAAAAAAAAATCTTTAGAGCATGCCTCAAATATTTGTTGGTGATGAAGAGGTATGTTCCTCTTCTGAACTAGATTACATATGTAAGAGAAAGTGTTTGCGTTTAGCAGGGCACACCTGAAATTTTCCTACTTCCTGAAGGCAGAGCGCACCAGACAACAGAAGTAAAAAACAAAAAAAAAACCCCAAGCCACATTCTTCTCCCGTTTTGTTCAATTTATCACCACATTTCAAAGACATTCCGGCTATGGGGAGAAAATAACTAACCATTGAAGGCACTTAATAGAATGGCAGCATTTTAAAGGAAATTAATACTTAATGGCTTCATGAATTCCTATCCTATAATGAAACAATATATCTCCATTGGTAGGCTTTATAGCAAGGACAATTCTCCGAGACATTACTCAAGCAATGTTCTCACTGCAGCATAGTTGTAAATGGGTTTTTTGGGGGGAGGGCTTTGTATGTTTGTTGTTTTAAAGCACATAGTGAATTTTTCTACTAATGCAGCCACAGCATGTTCACTTCAAATTCCTCTTGTACCTTTTCCAGAAAACAGAACATGTACCAGGTCAGTGGCAGCACATATGTGGTTCATACTCCTTTCTGCTGCTGCGTTCCTGGCTGGCCGGTTCAAGGGGTAGTAAATATTTAAATTGGCAGCCTGCACACAGTGGGTGGAAATTGGATAGTCCCTTTGATCATACGGTTACGAAGGCCAGCATATAGAGTTTTGTTACTCTGGTAACAGAAAACTTCTGGTGCCGCTGAGGTGAGGGTCCAGTAAATTGGGTATTTTGCATCAGGAAGGTACGGCATAACCCAGATAACCGAGGGTTTTTAAATGTGCCTGTTGTATGCTTAATGCTGCCTCTCCATGACTCAGCCCTTTTTACTTTCATGTCCTTTGACTCTGTAAGAATATTATCCCTATACAATGCTTTATTGTATCATGTTAAAAACTAACCACTATAAGCGTTCCTGAGTACCCCCAGAGTATTGTTTATTCCATTTCTGGAAAGACTTAAATCCTCCTGTGGGCATATGGCAGGGAAGAGGGTGATTTTGTTACATGTTATTTGCTTTCTTGCATAAAGTTCTTCCATGGTTTTCAGAAGAGTCAGATTTTAATCTAAGCCCTAATTATACCTTTCTTTCAAAAATACTAGTGCTAAGAAGTGCTTTACCTAAGGTATCCATTCAGTCCATTTCTTTTATATGGCATAAACAAACTACTTGTAACAAATAATGCATAATTAGTTTTACTACTTAATGTGAAGATAGGGATGTAGCCTGACAATTGGGATATTTGAAGAAAATTAACTTTTTATGATGAAAGGTTATATAATTTGGTTTAATGAATGCCACAGGTCATGTCTTGCAGGAGGCAGCTCATAGATAAAACCTCTCTCGTATTTTCCATTCCTGTTTCCTCTCACCATCTCTCCCAAAAAAATCCTACCAGAGGATCAGATTCCTGCACTCTGTGTTGCTGTAAGGTGTTTGTCTTTAATGATTCTTTTGCTGCTTTGAACGTTACTGTGCGTTATGTGCAAACCACCAATTATTTCCATTTCCAATTGTCCTACGAGTCCTCTCTCGAGTCCTGCTTCTGTACTACTGTCCATTTGCTTGTTTCAAAGATCTCAGTTTCCTCAT